ATCTATCTAAGAGCTGTGGTGGCACAGTGGTTAGAATACAGTATTGCTGCCTAACTCTACATTCCACTGAAGGGAGTTCGATTCTCACCAGCTCAAGGTTGACTCGGCCTTCCATCCTTCTGAGGTCGGTAAAATGAGGACTCAGATTGTTGGGGGGCAAAATGCTGACTCTGTAAACCGCTTAGACAGGGCTGTGAAGCCCTGTGAAGCAGTATATAAGTCTAAGTGCTATTGCCATTAAAAGCGACTCTGTACAGCGCCTAGCAGAGCAATCAAGGACGCACTGGTGCTTGTCATCCTTGACAGATTTAAAAAGAGGAGTGAAGGGCGGGCCAATCACAGGCCAGTCCATGATTGGCAGGGCATCTTATTTCTAGCTCAGAAGTAAAAGCGTGAAAAACAATCCCAAGTCCCTTTTGGCAAGGCTGTTGTAACTTTGAACTAAACGGACCGTTGTAAGTTGAGGACTGCCTGTATTCTCAAATATACCACTATTCTTCTTTATTGGCACTTTTATTTCCTTTACGCAAGAACGCAGAGCTTAAATTCAGGTGCATCCTTCCCATTCTACTGTTTCACCTTCCTCTTTTCTTTTTTCTTTTTTTAACTCGGACTTCTCATGAAATCCTATATATATATATCACCTCTTCTATCCGTGCTTTTTAAATGTCGCACTTTGCATTTCCTTCCCAGGAATTCGTAAGAGGGAGACTTCACAGGGGATGGAGCACCCGTGTGCTTCAACGCTTTCAAGTGGGCGAAGACAAGGAGGGGTGATGGTTAATTTGCAGCCCACAGGCACCCACCAGCATTAAAATGCACCTTTACAAGAATTCTCTCCTCCCCCCCCCCTTGCAGCCTTCTTAATGCTTGGGAAGGACTCAGGAAATGGGTTGTCTATTATTTAGGTGGGTTGTGGGTTTTTTTGTACTTTTGTGCAAGTGCTTTCCTGACTCTCTAGGGCTCAGTTAGCTGAGGATGGCAGCATGGAACACCTGTTTACTTTTGCAAGAAGGGAAGCCTCCCCCCCCAGACGTGTCTTACTGAAATGCACACCTATTAGGGAGGGAAGGGGAGGGGGAGAGAGAGAGGGAGGGAGGGAGAGAGGGAGGGAGAGAAAGAGAGAGAGATGGAGGGAGGGAAGGGGAGAAAGAGAAAGAGAGATGGAGGGAGGGNGGGGAGGGGAGGGGGGGGAGAGGGGGTCTTCCGAGCTGGGATGGTTTGGGTGGTGGGCGTTTGGTGACCCGACTAGGGGACGTGGCCAAGGTATTGAAGGGAGGAGGAAGAGGAGGAGGAGGAGGAGGAGGGGGGGGCACAGAGGATGACTTTGTAATACTTGGAACATGGTTTTTGTAATACTGTTGCACCAGCTAACTCTTATCGCTAGAGAACCCCTTGATACTGATTGAGATCATTGTTAAAACTGGTCTTCTTCCCAGAAACCTTTTTCCGCTGGATTCATGCCTGGATTTTCCCAGGTTGGACCTAAGTGTGAGAAGGATTAGCCGGCAAGCAAGGTTGCCGTTGCCCAGGGTACACCCGATTGTGGTTTGAAATATGGATCCACAATCTTCGAGGAGGCTCCTTCTGTGTACCCCAATGAGCTGGGGGTGGGTGGGTCTTCGTGCAGATGTCTCATTCCCTAACTAGGTACCATCATCAGTGACTGAAGGGAGTGGGTTGGGTGGAGAGGACGAGGAGGAGGAGGACTGTGGGGTCCTTGGTGCTCTCATTACCCAACTAGGTAAACATCATCAGCGTAGAAGAGAGGGGGATTTGCAGAGAGGAGGAGGAGGAAGAGGACTGTGGGGTCCTGGGTGAGCTGGGGGGGGTCTTCTTGTGTGGAGAGGAGGAGGAGGACAACAGTGGAGTCCTTTCGGGACCCAGCTAGGGAACATCATCAGGGCTAGTCCTGATGATGTTACGTAGTTTGGGTAACGAAATGTCTGCCAAGAAAACCACCAAGCTCAGAGAGCACCAGGGTGATCAGAATTCAGACGCTGGGCAACTGACGTGTATTTTTGACGGTCGCAGCGTCACAAGGTCACGGGATCCCCTTTGGCGACCTTCTGACAAGCAAAGTCCACAGGGAAGCACAAATGTGGCAAGGAAGGTCGTAAAATGAGGTAAAACTCACTTAACAAGTGTCTCGCTTAGGGACAGAAATTTGGGGCTCAATTGTGGTCGTAAGTCGAGTACTTTATTGCCTTCTACACAATTCTTCTTGCCTTGGATGCAAGGCAAGAACTCTATGCAGTCCCATCTCTCTCCCCCCCCTCTCTCCCTCCATCTCTCTTTCTCTCTCTCTCTCTCTCTCTCTCTCTCTCTCTCTCTCTCTCTCTCTNGAGAGGGGGAGAGAAAGAGAGAGATGGAGTGAGGGAAGGGGAGAGAGAAAGAGAGAGAAAGAGATGGAGGGAGGGAGGGGGAGAGAGAGGGAGGGAGGGAGGGAGGGGGAGAGAAAGAGAGATGGAGGGAGGGAGGGGGAGAGAGAGAGAGAAGAATGAGGCAGGCGAGAGGTTTAGGAATATATGGAAGGAGAAGGAAGGCTGAAGGGAAACCAGGAAAAAAGGGGGAGAGACTGAGAAACTGCAGAATCGGGTCCAAAGGAAAGGAGAAGAGGGCTATAAACACTGTCTCCATCCACTCAACCCTTTTCAGCATCTTTCACGGGTTAGATCCTCCCCCCGCCAAGCTTCTGGGGGGGATTTAACCCCCCCCCCAACTGATTAATCTCAAGGAAAAAGGGTCAAGTCGCCTTTTGCAAAAAAAAAAAAAAAAAAGGCACCTTTGAGCCAACTACAAACTCGGGATGGCTGAGAATCTGTACAGACGTGAAAAGAACCAAGGGGGAAGCCAGCCAGGCGCAGAGAAAGAAGCAGGCAGGCAGGCAGGCAGCCGGGCTTTCGGGGACACGGGTTAAGCGGGTGGTGGGAAAGCAAAGCCCCTGAACCTCGCTTTCCCTCTTCCTCAAATCTGCCCCCCCCCCTCAAAAAAAAGAAAAGCCAAGAAAACGAAGGCTAGCTTCGGATAAACAGACCAAGTATCCAAGGACGCACGCAGGACGAAAGGGAGCCTCACTTCTCCAGGAGCGAGTGGCGAAGGGATGGGGGGGCGCCACAAGGACCCCCCAGGAAGCCACACACACACACACCAGGAGCAGAATACGGGGGGGGGGAAGACCGGGAGGATGGCAGGTAGGTGTGTGTGTGGTGGGGGTCCTCCTCGTCCCCCCTGACTCACCCAGAGTGAAGGGCACCTCCGTGTTATCCAGATTGGGAGGGGGGCTACGAGTACCCCAGGAAGCCACACACTCACACACACAAACACCAGGAGCAGAAGCAGGAGGGGGGGAGACCAAGAGGAAGGCAGGTAAGGCAGGAGGGGGGGTCCCATCTCGTCCCCCTGACTCCCCAGAGTGAAGAAGGGCAGTTCCGTGTTATCCAGATGGGGGGCCCACAAGGACCCCCAGGAAGCCGCGCGCACACACACACACACATACACACACACACACAACAGGAGCAGAAGAGGAGGGGGGAGAGACCAAGAGGAAGGCAGGTAAGGCAGGAGAGGGGGGGGGTCCCACCTCGTTACCCTGACTCCCCAGAGTGAAGAAGGGCAGTTCCGTGTTATCTAGAACCGGGGGGGGGCACGAGGACCCCCAGAAAGCCACACACACTCCCACACACACACACCAGGAGCAGAAGAAGGGGGGGGAAGAGACCAAGAGGAAGACAGGTAAGGCGGGAGAGGGGGGGTCCCACCTCGTCCCCCTGACTCCCCAGAGTGAAGAAGGGCAGCTCCGTGTTATCCAGACCCGGGGGCGCCACGAGGACCCCCAGAAAGCCAGACACACACACACACACACACACACATACACATACCAGGAGCAGAAGTGGAGGGAGGGGGAGACCAAAAGGAAGGCAGGTAAGGCGGGAGAGGGGGGGTCCCACCTCGTCCCCCTGACTCCCCAGAGTGAAGAAGGGCAGCTCCGTGTTATCCAGATCCGGGGGGAGGGCCACGAGGACCCCCAGAAAGCCAGACACTCACACACATACACACACACACACACAACAGGAGCAGAAGTGGCGGGAGGGGGAGACCAAAAGGAAGGCAGGTAAGGCGTGTGTGTGTGGTGGGGGCTCCGTCTCGCCCCCCCCCGACTCACCCAGAGTGAAGAAGGGCAGCTCCGTGTTATCCAGATCCGGGGGGAGGGCCACGAGGACCCCCAGAAAGCCAGACACTCACACACATACACACACACACACACAACAGGAGCAGAAGTGGCGGGAGGGGGAGACCAAGAGGAAGGCAGGTAAGGCGTGTGTGTGTGTGGTGGGGGCTCCGTCTCGCCCCCCCCCGACTCACCCAGAGTGAAGAAGGGCAGCTCCGTGTTATCCAGGTCGTCCTGCACCGCCACGCGCCCGGGCACTTCGCTCCGGACGAAGAGCAGCAAACGCGAGTCAACGCCAACGCCAACGCCGCCGGGAGGCACCGAGCCCGGAGCAGCGGCAGCAGCGGCGGCTGCAGCAGCGGCAGCAGGAGCCGAAGCGGCGGCGGCGGCGGCAGCCGAGGCTGAAGCAGGGGAGGCGCCCGATGCACCCGGAGGGCCGCCGCCGCCGCCTCCGCCGCTCCTCCAGGCGAGGTCGCTCTCCCGCAGCACCGGCAAGGTGGACACCGTCACCGTCTTCTCCCGGCACGGGCTGCTCCCGGGCCGGCCTGGCCGGCTGCTGGCGCCGCCCGGCGTCCCTCTGCTGCTTGCACCGCCGCCTCCTCTGCCGCTGGCTCCGCCGCCCGGCTCGGCTTGCGCCCCTGCCGCCCCTGCCGCCGCGGCCCCGGGCCCCGCTCCGCTGGCCAGCAGCAAGAGCAGCGGCAGCAGCGAGGGAGCCGGGGAGGAAGAAGCGAAGGAGGAGGAGGAGGAGGAGGAGGAGGAGGAGGCGGCGGCCGGGAGGAAGAGGAGGAAGCGGCGGCGGCGGAGCAGCGGCCAGCCACGCGCCCCTGCCATGGCGCGGGAGAAGGAGGCGGAGAAGCAGCAGCAGCAGCCGCCGCCGAGCCCGGAGCACCAGCAGCAGCGGCAGCAGCCGCCGCAGCAGGAGCCGCTAGGCAGAGCCCGCCTCGCCTGGCTCCGCCCCCTCCCCGGCCAGGCT